CCTGGATCAAACCGGAATTTCCGCTGGGAGTAGGAGGTTATGCGTTGGTTGAATGAAACAGCATCCCCGGTGTGTGATAGACAGACCTTCGAGAATCGTGTTGACGCTGTCTTTGGACTGGCTTGCAGTAGGTATTGCCGGGTACATGTGAGTATGTGTGTTGTGTGTGTGCGTGTGTGATTTTATTGAATAAAACAAGAGAACAAAAGCATTCAAATAGCTTGTCGTGAAAATGATACCACCACAAGACCCCCAACCGAGTGGAACTAAGTATCAAATCGATTTTTTCCTAGGGCCGCACAGATCACACTCGGGGTTTGTTGTCGGTTGGACGCAAATTCAAAAACGACCAGTGACTGTACCAGTGGCTGTGGCCGAAATACACACAAGTACACCTAAACCGATCACGGAAAAACAGCCGCAGTGGATTTGACATTACATGTATATTGTTTTCACGCCGGATAAGTCAGGTGATGGGAACTTGACATTCTCCAGTTGATACCATTATCAAAAACGCAGTGAAGATCAGAACAGATGAAGCGGACAAATGGTATCACTCCGCGGGGTTTGGTTGAGCAGTGCAAATGTGCAAATGTAGTCCTGTGATTCCATTGTTCAAGCCCCCTAAGCGAGGCTCTCATTCTCCACTTGATGCCGAGACAGTCACCTTCTTAACTATGGATTGCACAGTTGTTACATAATAAATAATGTTAACTATTACGATTATCATTATTAATATTTTTACTATTATCATTATCATAGTAGTGTGTGCATCATATCAATAACTCGATTCGTATGAAGAAACCAACTGCTTACGACCCCAACAATCTGACTAAAAACGTTGGATGGTTTTTACGAGTGTTCGAGGGAGGAATAATTTCTGTCACCTCATGACATTCAGATTCGCTTATTTATTACAATATTGTAGGTAGTGGCGGTGATGATGTTGCTGGTGGTGGTGCTGGTGGTGTTCAAGCGGTGCAAGTCACCACCTCCAGCTGTATGCTTGAGAACCTCGAGGTTCAAATCGAACCAACATCAACCAACGTGGGTTGCACGTGACTTTACTGCAGTTCATCTGAGTACTAAACCCGCCTCAAGAGGGTCTTATGTGGTGCATCCCCTCCCCTGCAAATACAATAGGTTGCTGGCTTTCATGAGTCTACGGTAGGTCCTCATGACTACGGGGTTTACCTCTGCAATTGCTCATCATACATTAAGGGGTATCAAAAACGATCACCCAGTTAGGGAGAAAATAACCTACTAACCGTTATATCTCGTCATCAATGTGGCACTTACAATTCGAGTACAAGAATAACTTCGGATTTCCTGGAGTATGCGTCGTACAATTGTATTAATCTGGGGTGTCGTAACCGATTCATGATGGCGATCTCATTCTGTACACTTTGCCAATCCTCTTCCGACGCGATGGGGACGAATTTAGCCGCGAATTGTCCGCCAGTCTGCTTCTCCTCGCATCGCTTGACCTCACCAAATTTACCACTGTAATATATTTCAACCGAGTAAAAGTGTTTTGAAAAATAGCATCATGAAATGAAAAGCAGAAAAATAATAACAGGCTAAAAGATGGAAAAAACTGATCTTTTTAAAATATCGATGACCATTTATCTATCTACAAAAAAGGAACTAATTCACTAATGAAATGTTAACTTGTTTATTTGTCCGTTTGTTTAGTCCCATTAGGTCACCAATGAACATTTTGAATAGAACATAATGTAGCAAACAAGACTTGCATGTAGTGATTCGTCTTCTTTGGTTAATACATCACAATTTCTACAACTCGCTTAAAATACGGGAGGGCGGAAATATTACTTACAAAAAGTGATAATAATAAATTAATAAACTTGAAGGAATATAGATAAGGTCTACTGTTTGTGGTGTGGTGTTTGGTCCCGATTTTCCGAAGATTGGGAGGGGCGCTTGGAAATGGGATGGGTGGAGCACCATGAGAGATACAATGTCTTCACAAATTGTTTTGGTGTACACAGGGGTGGATTGTGAATGTGGGTTCCCACGCTTCTGTTGTGGCCAGGATGCGATATTTAAGCCGCATAGGTTGTTGTTCACAAACCTAGTATAAAGGATGAAACGCTTTGGTCAAGTAAACTAAATGACTTGACTCAATAAGGCGTGAATAGGTTGCGCTCATAATTGGCAATAACACCTCAGTGTGCAACCAAGCCGGGTGATGCTCACGAACTCTGTGAGTTAAGTGTCTGTTCGTGCGACCGATATTAGTTGTTCCACGAGCGGAAAATTGTTGCAGTCGAAAAGAAACTAGTGTACATAAA